CCGAGTTGAGCGGACCGTGACACCTCTCACTGTGATTTGTCCAGCAGGCTCTCAAGCACTCATCCTTAATTAAGGGCTGTATTTGGGGCACCATCACTTTCTTCTGTACTCCCTACCACATTTTGAGAAGAGGGGAGGTGTTCAAATTCACATTGTCTTTCACTAGCAATTCTGATCTGAAGCCATGTAAGAGCCTGTTTTAAGTGCTGCCTTCCATCCTCTGTCACTGAAACAGAACATCTGACGCTTACAGGACAGTCACAGCATCAAATCTAATTTGTACCTTCTGGAAAAGAAAACTTTTAGAAAGCTCAAAGGAAATACTTGGAATCAGATATTTCCTTTCTCACACATTTGTATTAGGGGAAACAGAGTTTTAAATGTTTCTTTTGGATGGACAAACACTTTAAAAAAAAAAAAGAAAAAATGCAGAGTGAGATCCTCCCACTGCTGCCACCTGCTACAGCTCTTCCGTTCATCCAGGTTCTTCTAGAACATTGCACCAGAGACCATGTTTGCAAGGGGAAAGGAAAGAAGCCTTGAACAAAATGCAGGATCACAACCCTGTACCTATAGAAGAACAGAGGTTGCCTTGGTTCTGCTCTTGGTTCTGTTCTCAGCAGGGAAACTCTTCAGTAGATGCCAGTGGAAGACCATCCTAGAGAGAGGGCCAAGGAGAACTGGTTGATGTTTAAGAACCATCTCCTCCAGGCTCAAGAACTGTCCATCCCAATGCACAGAAAATCAAGCAGTGGTGGCAAAGGGCCTGGATGAACAAACAAGGAGCTCTTGACCAGACAGACAGGAAAAAGAAGCATGCAAGAGGTGGAAGCAAGAGCAGGGGGCCTATAGGTGCACTATCCAAGCACGGACTGATGTAGTTATAGCAAATTTTTCTGCTGTATAAAATATTTACAAAAGCATACAACGTCAAAAAAAAGCCCAGTTTAATTTTACTGTCCAAATTACTGAACAAGACAACTTTTGGCATTTCTACATTAGGAACACAGGTTTTCATGTACAATTAACAGAACGCTTCACTGTAAGAAAGGTGAAATACTGCATTGGTAAAACACAGAACAGTCTCACACAAACTGAAGAGGTGACATCTACAGACTGATGCAGCTGGTCCACAGGCTTCAGTGAACATGGAGTACACGCCTAGTCTTAGAAGTAGGATTATACAAATACAAAAGATAATATATTACATACCTATATACAGCACTGTAAGTCTTGAGCACTGACAAAAGATAGCAGACATAATAATTACAGTAAAAAATTCTAGACTACTCATAGAAACCAGAAGAGACTTCCTTAGAGAGAAGCGTGGCTAAAATAGCCATGTATTTCCATCCCTGCCAAATCTGCCAGGTATACAAGGCGATTCAAGGGCATTTCACTCTCTTCAGAAAAGTCATTGCAACTCTACAGCAAGTGCTTCGAAGCCACATGCTTTTTGCACAAATGTTACAGATTCTCACATGAACAATAATTCTTGCCTTCAACAGAGCTCGGAAAGTGTAGCTGTTCAGAGCCATAATTGGAAACAGTGCCCTTCGATTCAAACCTTTAAGGTCAGTTATAAATGTCAGTATTAAAACATCTTCTCTTATTATGATCTGAGATGATTCACTCTTTCCTAATGTTTTCCTGCAGATTGTTGCAGCGTGTATGATGCTTGGAGCACATTCATCGCAACTACCCACTCTCAGGTAGACTGAAATATGGGATGTCTTAACAGGTTTTCCTTACACTATTAGAAGACCTCTACTTTATTACGCATTTTTCATTCATCAGCCTCAAGTGATCAGATAATGCCCAAATCCAAGAGCTTGACAATTTTAGAAATATTGTGAAAGAATTAAAACTGCCTCCTACCCTACGACCTCCCACTCTTCCCACTCCCAAATCCCACACCATGGATATTTGGATAGCAAATAATTCTGCCCTCCCTCACAACTACCCAGTTGTTTGGGTTTGTGGGTTGTTTTTCCATTTTTAAGAAAAAGAAGCACAACTAAAAGTTCTGTTACTTGTATCAGGAAATAAATTCTTCAGACCTGATCAGCATCAAGGTGTGATGTCAGTTCACAAAACCATGCTTATTGTGTAAGTTGCCCCAGAGACCAATACGTATTTACTTGAAACCACAGACATACAGAAACTGCAGCTTTTAATACACCAAAAGCCTCCCCTTTCATCACGTTCTCAAAGAATTATGAAGCTCTATGTAATTCCAGCTGTACCAATATAAGCCTGTGTCTCAGGTTCAAGCTAGACCAGTTAGAATAACTGGCTGGATAAAATAAAAGGATAAACCAACTTTAACACTGCTTTATTTGTAACCAACACTATCGTACGCCTTATGTCACATATCTAAATTTTATGGCATTTTAGATCCTTTGAAATTCTGATTTGTAGCTAAAGTGACTAAATCTTCCCAGTATCTTCTGTACCAACACCCAACTTGAAAGAATGTCTACTGTGGAGCTAATCATCAACTAAACAAAGCAAAAAACAGACCAACAGAATTACTTAAAAATTCTAGTCCCTTAACACTAACTGTCAACTACTACCACAAACATTTGTCAGTTGGAATTTTATTTATCAGTTCTAGCTTATGGTTCAATTTAATCTACTGTAAAGTGTTTCCAAAGTATTCTTAAATGCTACACTGCAAGAGCAGATCAGGAGGCAGCTGCAAGTTCTGCAGGTTATTTCTTCGTAACGTCTAGAACAGATTTCAAGAAAAAGAAGAGCTCTACATTCAGTATGTGTAGTGCTAGCCCAGGTCTGCTCTCAGCTGCCAAAATCCCTTCTATTGCTTGTGGTTATGCATGCTCCAGCAGCCACCTGTATCCGTTTAAATGAAACAAATGGACTGTCTCATGTGTATTGTAGAAAAACCTGTAGAAAAGGGGCAAAATTTTCTGCTGTACAAAGTATCTAGAAAAACATACAACTTCAAAGAACCAGTTTATTTCACTGGCCAAAATAATAAACACTGAACAGGACAAACTTGTAGCTCATACATTAGGAATGTAAGTTTTCATGTACAATTAAGAAAGCACTTCACTATAAAAAGGTGAACTACTGCATTACTAGAACATGGAACTGTGTCACACAACAAACTGAGCACTGTGAGGAAGCATGGCACACTTCTTTACACTCAGGCTCTCAGGTGAAGATGGACATCTATAGACTAATGCAGCTATTCCACATACATTGGTGACCATTAAGAAACGCACACATCTAGTCTGCAGTCTTAGAATTATACAACTTATTTGTCCCTATCAACTGTGTCTCCTCATCTCTTTGCTTATTAATTGCTATCAACCTGAATAACATTAGCTGCTTAAGTTACTTGTCCTTCAGTTTAAGTCAAAAAGGGATATCTAAATTTATCTCCAGGCAAATAGGAAAGTCCACCAGAATTTTAGTGTTTGTTTTGTTATAAGGTTCTTGACAATAAGGGATCACTAGCTGCAGAAATCTGGACAGCTGGGAATTACTATGCCTTCCATCTTCTTCCTATTTCTCCACTCATAATATATCGTCTGTTTGTCAGCTATTGCTTCTCTAAACTTCCATGTAAAAAAGTTTCAATGTCCATTTTAATTTAAGATCTTAACATTGTAAGAGTTGGTATCAAACTTGGTCACCAAACTGACTGCAGGTTAAAGGTTATGTAACCTTGAACAGACTGTGGGTTTAGAATTTCAAAGTATAACAATAATAGATATAAAAGACTAGGAATTACAGTGCTAGTTATATTTACATTATAATTTCCCTTTGTGCTTGCAAGTTACTGAAAGTACACATCCTTTGGTAGTATTCTTTTAGTCTTAATAAGAAGTTCATGTTAAACACATTCACACTTCTGACTTCCTTGTCAGTGCAAAGGGCTCATACCTTATTTCCTACATAACATTGTTACATGAGCACATCTCTTCCCCATAAACAATAAAAAATACAAATGACAGCAACTCTTCAGTGAGTAGCTTTGTGCCTGATAGTTAAGAATCTGCAAGAAAAAAAAGTCTGTCACACAGTCTGTGAGTCTAAAGAGTGACTACTATAGCAACTGATAAGAACACTCATCCACAAATACTGCTGCTGTATGACTTTTGGGCCAGGTTCAGAAACATACAGAAAAATCAAAAAGCATCTGTAATGCAGGCTCCCACAGCCATGAAGAAGTGTCAGCGTTGCACTGTGCACTAAATACCACTACAAAAACCACCACATCAAATGCTGAACTGATGCTTCTAGTTTTAACTGTACACATAAGCACAGCTTTCCTGTGGCTAACACAAGAGAACGTTTGTTCTTACAGTGCTCTTCCAAAGTTTCATGCCCATACTGAAAGACTCCTCTGAAACAAAAACTATTTGCAGTTTTGCCTACACCAAGTGGTGGTGAGAGAGTAAACCCTGGGAAAGAGGCTCTGTTTGTTCCCCTACTGTGTGCTTGGAAAAAAAAGAAACCCACACAAGCCTTGATCAGTGGCTGAGCAACCAACCAAAGTTTGTTAAATTGCTGCTGCTGTAAACATCACATGGAGCCATAAGCAATAAGGTGTATAAACACGGTAAGTCAAAGAGAAACTTTCCAAGCTATTAGAAACTGATGCAAAATAATTACAACTGTTCGCTATTCACAATTACTGTCAAATGTGAGCCAAGTAAAAATTTATGGGTTCGAGGTTTAAGAAAATAATGTATAGCATATAAGGAGCTTAATGTACCCACGTACCAATATCAGTATACACCTTCGGTATTTTATTTTTCATACTTGTCAATTTAAGATCAGTCAGTTGACAAAGTTATGCTAATACTAGGAGGTCGCTGCGGATTAGGTTGTTTGCTTAAAATAGGAAGATCTGTTCTTTCTGTTCCATATATCAGTTTGTCCTCCTGAAGACTGCAAGCTGAAAACCTGTTTGCCTCTGTACCAGATACACCACCACGATTATTTGGAACTGTGACACCACTGACCTGTTCAAAGGACTTACTAAATACAGTGGTGGTCGTTCTGGCCAGACTATGACTGCCAGGCTTAGGCAGGGACTGGCTAGTTGTCAGTGTCAGTCTCTTCAGAGAGACAAGTTCTAGATTCTCACTCATGGCTCTCTGAGTTTGTTTTCGTGACAAGTGTTCTCTGCAGGTTTCTCCATCTTTTTCTTTTCCTCCAGCTTTGCTTCCTCCAGACCTTCGTTGGCTCTTCCCCAAAAGGTTCTTACTGCTTGTATTGCTGCTGTTAGATAGGGCAGACTGACTTGTACTAGAAGTAGCTCTAGAGTAAAACCCTTCATCTGTCTCAGATGCTTCTGTCAGTTCTTCTTGAATTGCTAAATCAATATTATCTGTATTGTAGAAGAAAAAAAAAAGTATTAGGAATTGACTTTGCCATATTTATTTTATGATTTGCTAGATTTTTATATTTACAAGCATGAAGCCATACAGCAACAGAATAGAGAACAGAAGAACAAAACACTTACCTATTCCATTGCATTTTGGAATTAAGGTTCATTATGACATAAAGTTATGGCAAATAATGCTGCATTAACTAGATCAAAAAGCATGCCCAAAAACTCATTTTGTAGTGATTTTGGGGAAGAAAAAAAAAAGCAGTCTTGTTAATTCATGCAAGAGATTAGAAACATATGGATTAGAAGATACCACACAGAACAAAGTATAAATCTTATCTTGAGCAAGTGCTCTGGTACATGATTTTGCAAAGCTCGTTAATTATATATAAAGGTGTATGACCAATGTCCCAGGACACCCAATATGGCACCTGCATGTTTAGCAACCCAAGAATGCTTTAGGACTGAAAGGTCACCTTCTGCATCATAGGTCTGGTGGTACAAGTTGGAAACTCAAGCACAACAGAAGATCTGCAGTATACCGTGAAAGATGGAATTTGAGAAATCTGAGGTTCACAGTGAGATATTTTTCACATCTGTTTTGACAGATTCTTCATAACATTAATCACTGGATTTTGTAAAACAAATAAATATGCTTAATAAACTCAAAGGTATGTTGAAGCTCAGTGTATTTTCTCCAGAAAATAAATCTACTTGTAAGTACGTCATCACTGTCTGTGGCACAGACAAAGCTGTGTGCAATACATGCATTTGTGTTATTACACATGCAAATAAATTATCTGCATACTTTAATTCTCCAAACATGCAGCAGTGACCCTTTCAATCAACAGTGGTACCTTAGAGTGCAGCTATAAGTGCTCTGCTAAAACTGCACTCTGCCAGATGAGTTTATTCCATCCTCCATTTTTCTTACAGATTTTTGCCTCCTGATTTCTGGCATGCCTCTGCTGTCAGTTCTAGGATCTGTAGCTGTTTCCTGTACTCCCTGTAAATGCTGAACATCATTCTCTGCTAGTGCTCTGCTCTTTTCCCCATTCCCGGTCCTCTCTCCAGCCACACTTGTGACACTAATCTCAGGTATGATAAAGTTGCCCAATTCAGTGGCATCATTACCACTCTCTGGTTGTTCTAGAATTAAAGATGGATAAGAAAAAACAAAACAAAACAAAACATGTTTGAAACAAAATGTAACAAAAGCCAGTAGATACAGATGACTAAAGCATTATAAATTAAAGCAGATGTTTACATATTAACCTCTGGTTAATTAGCAACATTAGCAAGTATGGAATTTTGCTTTATTTCTAAATCGCAGGCTTCAACCTTCCAACTATTGGCCTGGACCCACATACTGGAAAGCCCCATGCTTGAGCTTTCAAAACTGAAATTTTTGAGATCAGAAACAAACATTCAGACATTATCAGGAGTCAAAGAACTCTTCACAATTTTATTACTGTATTCTCTATATCACCATGCTAAAGTGAAACTGATTTTACAGTGAAATGGCATATCAACTTCATGTATTACCATGCAAGATTAGGAATTCTACATGTATAGTGTCATGATGCTGCACAGTAGTCAGCCTGCAAGCTAACAGTAAAACAACTAAGCCAACTCAAGCACTCTTTGACTTCCATTTTGTTTCTTCATTTCAAAAAACTGTTTTCAACCAGCAAGATACTTACAAGTAGGAAAATACTCCAGTTACTAAAGTCAACTTATTTAAATAAAACCTATGGAGTTTTGCTGCAGGTTTGCCACCTACTAATAATATAACAAAAATGTTGATCTCAGGCTTTTTAAGCTTCTTGTATGAGCTTACAAATAAATTAATTTGCAATTAACTTATCTGCATCACACAAGTAATTTACTAAGTACAGTTGAAAAAACAGGGATTAAGCTGGGGGGAGGGAAAGCACTACAACTTTCTGCAGCACTGGGGAAAAAAAAAAAAAAAAAAGAAATTAAGGCAAAACCCAATGTAGCTTGGTTCTAAGATTACTTCTTTTCCTTTGGGTAAGTTGTCCACAGCAGATACACAAATGCTCAGGCTGGCCAAAAAAACATAATTTCAAGATTTCAAAGATTCCTGCAGACATAGCCAAAATTTCCCAAGCAAACATAAAACTCCACTGCTACCCCTACCCAAAGTGAGAGAATGACTGTGTGTAAGCACAAGCTATTTAATAATGATATTTAGTGATAAGAATGCAATAGTTCCTACAAGGTCCTGGTATAACAAATCCAAATTCAAAACATGCCTGCCTACATTAGATGAAGACAGGTTTGAGAAAGATGAACTCTTGAGAGAAAAAAAAAAGAGTTGAAACTTTGCAGAAACCTCAACTTTAGGCATGTGACAAGTTACAATCCCAGCAACCTGTCAGCTCCACAGTGTTTGAGGTATTCTCGGTATCTGAAGATCTTTTTTAAAAAGTATTCACAATTGCTTTATCAGCACTAGCTCTACAACCACAAAATTGCACTTACATGACATGAAGAAAAAAAAAAAAAGGGAAGTTACAGATAGTCATGACACATCCTCCTGAAGATTTATACCACACAAGCAAAAGTGAAGAAGACCAAGAATCACCTGCTATACAAGAACTATATGCTATGCGGTTATATATTCCACATGTTATGTATGTATACTACATGCAAACACTATGGCCACAAACTTGACAAGACTAAAAACACATAAAAAGCATGGCTCAGAATAAAGCCCAACTGAATCCCTGTGTTTATTCATAACAGAGTTCTTCTGAAGACTAAGTGAGGACTGCCCAGACCACTCTGCCAGTTTGCTACTGCACATAACAGAAGCTGACAGTACAATCATTTAACAGACAGATGAAATCCAAACACAGGAATTTAGGATGACATTATTTTCCACAATGGCAGCTCTAATGCTTTTAAGCTGGAGAGGATCCTCTCTTCCCCCTGTCCCTGTGCTGAGGACTCCTGTGCAGACAGAATGTACCTCTAGGGCAAGCGGGCTACAGCGCTGAGCTTTTGGCTAGCAGTTGTGCTGGCTGCACTTATCACAACAACAGAACTGGCCTCAGAGATAGAAAATTATTCTGGCAAGGATGGACATTATTGTCCCATGGTATCAGATCTATTCCAGATTTTATCTCTGGAAAAGTATCTCTTTAACCAGTTATACTAAACAAAGGAAATGGCATTAATAGTGCTGCTATTAGCCAGTAGCTTCCTGATATTTGGCAGGAAACTCAAGTTAGAACTGTTTCCAAGTGCTATTTCTTCTAACAGCACTTCCTGCAAAAGTCTTCCATTGTCAGTAACAACAGCAGCAACTCAGCATCTTGAACCACAGTAGCAATAATTAATATAAACAAATACCAATAATGACAGTGATAATAGTAATACCACCACACAACACCCTTTTTTCTAAATACATAGGAGCAGAAAGAGTGGTGAGGAGAGAAGATCACCACTCTGATTGGCCTCATTGGTCTAATTTTACTAGGGTGAGGTACCGATGTCTCTCCTGTTGCAGTCTTCAAACTCTTTCCTGCTAACCCATGAGTGCAGCTACAGGTACCTTACTTCAGCAAAACTTCTTCCAGGACCTACTGAGCTCCATGTGCACAAGCCAATTCATCTGGAAAGTTTACATTGAGAGCCAGGACACCGAGGAGAGGAGAGTGAGCTCTGTTCTGCCCTATCGGTCCCCTCCCAACCAAAGGCACAAAAGCACTAGTTAACAGCATCCAGTGCCAAAGAAATGAGACTCTGAGTGCACAGCAGAAATCAGAGGGAGAACTTCTTTTGTTACAGGTTTTGTGTAACAGCGATATTTAATTATTGGTTTTTGGCAGCATATGTTTCTAAATGTAGTATCTGATTGTGATATCAACACTTCACCCATCACTGCTGCATTCCCACAGCTGTGCAACCACAACGAACTGGGGAAAAACCCTCAACACCTAAGAGTTTTACTCAACATAATTTTGTCTAATATTTTAGTTAAGTGCTATTAACTACTCCAAATGAAAAAGAATCTACCTTTCTACCTTTCTTCAAGTTAAACATTGAGCAATAGGAATAAATTAATGAAAATATGGGATACTGGGTGTCTCAGCTCTCATTAACACTATGTACTACAACATCTACAGTCTTGTGGCAGGGGTAAGGCTACACAATCCACGTCCTTCACAGTAGCATCCCCTCCTTATTTTGAAGCTTTTGAGAGCAGTTAAAGCAAATCTCCACCTTCATAGTGCTTGGTTTTGAAGATAATACTGCTTCAAGCTGAACAGCTCTGGGGGACCCATCCTTTGAAAACGATTTTAATACCTAGTGCCTAAGGCAATGTAGCAAAGGAAGAAAAAGGGCTCTGCTAGATTGTGTAGAGACAAAACTGAATGTCAGTTTGAAAGTTAATATAAACATGTCCACAGTAGTTGAAGGAAAATGCATTTGGAGTCACATTTCTGAATGCTTTTAGTACAACCAATCTTGATAAATGCAGTTCATGATTACTAGCCACAAAGAATTAATTTGAAAGCTATTTCAATTATACTCTACCTTATTATGGTTGCCTACATCATTTGTCTCAGATTGCACAGACAAACTGCCTATTGGGATTGTAATGCAATTTTAACCACAAGCTCCAGCTGCATTTCCTGCACAACAGTGTTAGCATTTTGAATTATTCACAAAAGCCTAAAGCTTATATCCCAAAATTAGCATTTATTCCAGATTCCTAAAAGTTATAACTATTTCAGGAATACTGTTCCAAAAGGAAAAAAAAAAAGAAGAAAATTCTCTCCACAGAGATTCAAAGACTAATATTTCTAAATTGTGTACTACACAAAACTAAATTTCTGCAAAGGGGAAAGAATGTCTTGTCCTTCTTCTCTAGTTGATGTCTTTGATTCTGTGTTATGTACCTTACCAACATCTGCTTAGCTCTTCTTACTCAGTCTGTTATATCAGAGTGTTTTATATGCATTACCTCTACACAAAGGGGTTCTTGCCCAGTAAAAGGTTGCTCAGGAGTTCAGCAGATTTTCCATTAGCAAGGAAAGCGTTGCTAGGGCTTGCTTTGGTTTGTTTTCTGGCTTCCATAAATAACCATTTGTTTAGGTGTTTTGTCCCTTACACATTGTATGATCTTTCTGGTCTTCCTCTATTTGTGAATGGAGATGCCACTCACAGCTTGTTTTTAAAATACAAACACAAAGAAAACTAATGCTAGATAGATGCTTTTTAAGCTTTGTGATTTATAGTCAGTCCAATTCAATAGCACTGAATAATTTGTTGATAAGCGGTGGCTAGTACCAACTATAAATACTACCCCCATTTGTGATTATACAAACCCATTTTGCAAATGACGTTAACGTTTAGTACTTCTCAAGTATCTACCTTAAGTCCAAATTCCCAATAATAATTTGATTTTTCTTAAAAAGTGCTTCTAAGTAACAGCTCTAACAAATAAGTTACAAGGTTGAGTATCATAACAAGATTGAATGTTAAGATGACCTATTTTGAAAATTGACTTCAATATAAAGTTCTAGCAAAGGCTAGTAGGATTTAATGTCCAAAAAAATTATAAACTGAACTTTTGAAAATTTATAAAAATGTTAATTTATATTTAAAATGTTAATTCATTTTTATTACACTTTCAATTCTTCTGAATGAACTAGCATTCATTATCCCTAATCTGTGTTCCCCTCCACAACCTCATTTGAACAAGCCTCAGAACCACTCAGAACTAATTGCTGACAAATTACCAACCTTGAGAGGGCATCTGTCCATTTTTAAGCTGAAATATCATAGTTTCCTGGCGCCCAGTCTGTAGTCCCTACTTAACAACTGTAAGCCTGAAGAAAAGGAAACAACTAAAATACTGCTTGGCAGTCTTGAGCTTTCAGTAATGACTTGCTACTGGATCTCACGTTAAAGACACTAATCTTTTGCTCCTCAGTGTTGTCTGACAGTTTTAAGCAGTTTTTAATCAAATGAAAAGAAGTTTGGTTATTTGCCTTCCTTTGCCCCTCACTCCTTCCCTCTGGCAGCTTACTGTTGGCACTACTACCACCAGTGTGTACCCATTGCTGCTCAGAAAGCTCTATCATTATTTTAAAGTCATCTTCCAGCAGCATATTTATGAATCATTTTCTCACTTACTGGAATTAACTCAGTCCTTTTTGACCAGTAACATGGCAATACTTTTTTAACTGAACTGTCCATAAACCCACACAGTACACAGCATTCAGAAAATTTTATGATACTACTTCAACATCTTTACTGAACCTACTAAAAGAGCATTCTTATCTACATTCACTGGATTAGCCTGTTACCAAAATAACAAGTGCAGCAGAGTAAGGTATTGCCAACTTTGACTTCTGATCCAGCTCTTCTTCCCTCATCTGAAAATGGTAGAAGTGGAATGTGTTTCTCCTTTTGCAGTACATTGAGCACCATTTTTACTACTTCTCAGCCCAGATCTGTGTTTTGTTTTGTGGAAGCCCTTACATTAGGTTGACAAATGCTCTAGTTTTGGCTGGGGCTGAGTGAGTTTTCTTCACAACAGCTGGTATGGAGCTGTGGTTTGGATCCGTGTTGGTAGCAGAGTGTTGGATGTTCCCAGTGCTGCTGAGCAGGGCTCACCCCGAGTCAGGGCCTTTGCAGCTTCTCACACCACCCCACCAGCCAGTGCACCAGGGGTGCACAGGAAGCTGGGAGGAGACACAGCCAGGAGATCTGGCCCCAGCTGGCCAAAGGGATGTCCCACACCATGTGACATCATGCCCAGCACAGAAAGCTGGGGAAAGAAGGAGAAGGGGGGGGGGAGGGAAGGCACATTTGGAGTTATGGTGTTTTGTCTTCTCAAGTCCCCATTACAGGTGATGGGGATGGCTGACCACCTGCCTGCCGAGGGGGACCAGTGAAGCAGTTCCTTGGCTTGCTTTGCTTGTGTGCCTGGCTTTTGCTTTCTCTATTACACTGATTCTCTCTCTCAGCCAAAAAGTTTTCTCACTTTTGATTGTCCAATTCTCCCCCCCCAACCCACACTGCAGGGGAATGAGCGAGTGGCTGTGTGGTGCTTAGTTGCCAGCCAGGGTTAAACCACAAAACCAAAACATAGTAATCTATGTTAAATCTCTACCCTTAAATTTTTAAATAATTTAAGGTAAATGAAGCTTTGTGGTAAAGTTGTTAAATATTTGGTTTGCTTCAAGTACTACAAGGTACTTTTTAGAAGAAAACAAGAACATCATCCTCTTCAAAGAACCCATAAGTTTGTACAGATCCCTTTAAAATAAGAAGAGATTTTGTGGGGCTTTTTTTTTTTTTTTTCTGAAACTCGCTCAACAGGCTGAGAGAACTGGGGTTGTTCAGCCTGGAGTAGGCTCTGGGGAGACCTCCTTGCAGCCTTCCAGTACCTGAAGGGGGCCTACAAGAAAGCTGGAGAGGGATTTTTTACAAAGGCATGTAGCAATAGGACAAAGGGTAATGGGTTCAAACTGAAAGAGGATAGATTTAGATAGATCACATACAAGGAAGAAATTCTTCAGTGTGAGGGTGGTGCAACACTGGAACAGGTTGCCCAGAGAAGTTCTGGATGCCCCACCCCTGGACATGTTCAAGGCCAGGCTGGATGGAGCTTTGAACAACTTGGTCTAGTGGAAGGGGTCCCTGTCTATGGCAGGGGAGCTGGAACTATAAGATCTTTAAGGTCCCTTCCAAACCATTCTTTGACTCCATGATTAAGGAAATAAAGAATATACTTCATCTGAACTTGTCCTGGGTTCCATGATAGTGTTAATGTTCACAAGCAGGTGCAGCTTATCTCAACCCACAGGGCTTTTGGGTTTTTTTTTCCCTCCCGATTGTCCTCTCCTGACACACGTGGTGAAACCACAACAGAACTGCATTAAGATTCCTTTTCACTAGTCCAAAACACAAAACTCTCCAAACTGCTGCTTGCTTACTAGTAATGAAGATGTGCAATAACAAAACTCTCAATATTATTTAAATGTGTAAGAGTTGAGAATTTATTGCAAAATGTTTTTCTTACCATGCCTTTTCCATCTATGCCCTCTGATAGACATGCTAGTCACAGCATTTCTTGATATTCTGGATGAAGTTGGTGTAATTTCAACCTGAATGCATCTTGTACCTTCTTTACTAGATTTCATGGCTCCCTGAGGCAGTGAAGCTTTTATTGCATTAGCAACCTAGAACAGAAAGGATGCAGCTAAATTCTTAACATGAACATCCAGATTTGAGAATAAGAACTCTGTCAGGGATTGATACTATACCCAAGAACACAAGTGTACAATTCCAGTTTAAAGGTGAAGTACACCCAAAATACCTGTGCATGTGTGTATACTCCAACACAGCTATTCACATGAGCACAGCCACATAGACCTCATGGGATTTAGGGTCCTGGTGTGATGCTGCATCATGTGTGTTCACAGGTAGTATTTCCTAGTCTAAAAATTCTACTCAAAAAAAATGCAGCAATACAGTACCTACCAGCAGAGGTTCTGGATACAGTTCCAACTGTGCTCTATACAAAACGTCATCCATAGCTTTACGAGCCAGATCCCACTCTCCGTTGTAACTACAAAGGTAAATACATGTATATAAAATAAGCATCTATATCGACAGGTTAACCTTGGTTACAATCTTCACAGATTTAGTGTTCCTTGAGAGCTCAGTTTAGATGAACTGAGCTACTGGCATTCATTAGTGAGAAGCTTGCTATTTAGAGAACTTGTTCTGAAGTAGCATCTACGGACAGAAGGTTTTATTTTCATTGGCCACCCTGAGTAGTTTTAAAATTACATAATTAATTACTGATCAGCTAGTCATGAAATATTCTGAAATTTGAGCAGGTTTGTTTTAACATTACTCTACCTTTTGAGGATTCCTGCATTACCAGTCTTTAATTATTTCAGTAAGAGAGCTTCATACATTAACATGACTATCAATGGGTAGATCACAGCATTTCAGAGAAAAAATACAACCTCTTTCTCTTAACTACACTGATTTCCAAACTAAGCATGCAAAAATGCAGACTGCAGACAATGGCTGTAAAGTGGCTTTTTTTAAAGATTTTTTTCACATCAGGAGTTATACCTATTAAGTGCTGTTCTAGCTCTCTTTCCCTTTCTCTTATGACAAAAGCAACTTCAGCCAACTAGTTGGAGAATTACATTCACCTTCCTGGGCACCTTATTGCTAGATACAGCATCTGCCAACTACAAAATAAAACATTTCAAAGGTAGCATGTCTAAATGAGTGCAGAAATGAAGCTGATATTTCTTTGTTTTGTATGCATACAAAAAAATCAACTTACAAGGCATAATAAATCCCTGTTAGCATTTGCACCATGAATTCAGATGAGACTGGAATTCTGCTGTTGACTCCCTTGTACTTTCTCACTTGTTGGCGAGGATATCCGCAGACACAAATCCTAAAGAGGTCACACATTTGTCAGCAGCAAACAACATCCAGCCACCTCGGTACTGAACACTGCAAAGCTAGCTGTTTAGTATGCATTTTCATTACAACAGAACCACAGGAAGATATCCATAAACAACCCTGCGCTCAAGCAGACTCTCTCTTGTTCTGGAAAAAGGGCATATCCTCTACCATTCAAATCCTTCAAAATAAGAGACATCCCAGACACCTCTCTTACATTTATGCTACAGCGAAGCATAAAACACTGCCAGTAAGAGCCATTCTGAATCCATGCATTTGCTGCAGAACAGACAAAAAGATCAGTTAACTGTATTTGAGGAAATAAAGCCGCAGATCACCTATTAATATCACAGACAGAAACGGAAGCATCATTGCATATAATATGAAAGTTGCATGCAAGTTTTCAAGCAAAGAGAGCAGAAGTGTGATATTCATAAAATTATCCTAAAATTCCAGCAAAAGTCAAATTTAGAGTTTAGTTCCGAACTACATTCCACATCAGATTCTGTAGTCAAAACATTTAGGAAATCAAAGATACTGGGTAGTTAAATATGTGTTGTGGTCTGAGGCTTGGAATGGG